CGCTGTGTCTTGACCGTGTTTACTACTAAACTAAAGCATTTTTCCACTTATTCCTTTTTTTTTTTTCAATTGGCAGATGGCCTCTTACCCAAGCTGGAGTGGTGTGACATGATCACTGTTCACTGGAACCTGCACCTCCAGGGATCAAGTGACCTTCCCCACTCTGCCATCCAGGTAGCTGGCACAAAATGCGCGCCACCACACCCAGGTAACTTTTTGTACTTTTAGTCGATATGAACTTTCACCACGTTGCCTAGGCCGATCTCCAACTCCTGGACTCAAGCAATCCCCTCGCCTCGACCTCTCAAGGTGCCAGGATTACAGGCATGAGCCATGCACCCGGCCCACCTGAGCATGTCGAATGCTTGTGAAAATCGGGTTATCCAACACAATAGAGTATGTCCCTGATTTATTTCTCTGCTTCAGACCAGGAGCTGAGGAATGATGCCACCACTACCACCAACCACCTGTGAGCTCGCTTCTCTGTGTTTCACATTAATAAATGCACATAGAAAAGTCCAGCATAACATGTATCTACTGATACCCTGCGTCAGGCAGCCCTTGAGACTTCCCTAAAATGACAGACAGTGTTTGGGACCTCTCAGGACTCTTATCCTTCCACATGCACAAACAGATGCCAGAACTGCCTGGCATAACGACGAGTTCTACCAGGGCCGCCTGGTGACCCACTGCATCAACCCTCCTCCCATTTCCGGAGTTCAGATTTGCTTCTTCCATTTGGGAGACTGAGAGCCTGGGAAATCCATCTCTGCACCATCTCTGTCTGAGGAGTGAGGATATGACATTTACCTTCAGGTACAGCCGTGGTGGAGGATGAATGGGTGAATTTAGGTGACATGTGCAGTAGCAATTCAATGTTTTAGACAGTTTTTCTGAATTTTCTGGGAAAACACGCATACACTCCCAAAGACATTCCCAATCACTCCACAGGGCTGTCTCCTCCATACCTCACCGCCCTGAGGCACACCACCCTATTCCATCTAAATGGCAGTTCTGCCTCCAGGGACGCGAGAGGATGGTCATGGTTCTTTACTGGATGGACTGAGCGTTTTTTAAACCAAACTGCCCCTATCTCCTTTCTGTCAGGAAGCTCAAACCAAAGCAGCCCCCCAGCAAAAGCAGGAGAGTGAGTGCCACCTGTTGCCACACTCAAGATCTTTCCTGAGCGGAGGAGCGCTCCCAGAATACACACCTTTTTCCTTGGAGGGTTCCTCTGCCTGCATGAACAGAAAGGAAAACACCGTGAGCTTCAGACCATCCTGAGGCTTGAGTGTACAGGTCTTTTCTTCATTGTTGACATTAGAAGACCAGATGGGAAAGAGTGTCCAAGTCAAAGGAACACAGAAGAAGAACAGGACAGCTGACTCACGCTAACGTCGTTCTCGCAGGATATTCCCTCTCAAGGTCCTGTGACTTGGCAGTGAAGTGCTTCTGCCCCAAGCACGGAATCAAGCTGCAGAGGAGGAAGCTCACTGTCACTAAGTGCGTGGCTGGTGCTGCCATTTTCTCCTCCTGTCTTAAATCAAGCCTCAGTGGGGAACAGACTCTCACTCGGAATTCTCCCCACCAAAGACACTGTATAAATCACCTATGACACATAGGGTCAGATTCTCCTACCGTACTGAAATTCAAAAGGATAAAGTTGAGAAATCTTTTCTCCAACCAAACCAGGTGGACTGACCTTCCCCTGTGGTGGCTCCTCCTCATCTGAGGATTGGTAGGAGAACTCTTCCAGCACGGTGTATCCTGTGGGAAGTAAAAGGACACAGAGTGAGTCAGCAGGTGCAGAAGAGGAGCAGGGAAGAGAGGTTCTCTAGCCCCAGGTCACCCCATCAACGTGAAATAGCCCATCTCAAACAGGGCACAGCACCCAGGGCAGGCTGTGTGTCCCTGCAGGCTCTTCAGGCTCCTGCCTCCTAATCTGACTTGAGCTCACTTGCCCTCCCTGAGTCCTTCCAATCTCATTTCCCCCCTAGAATCCACCTCTGGTGCTTCTGCGTGCATCAGTCATTCTGCAATATGTTATACTTGGTACAAAGCAACCTTTCTTCTGAGACATCTCATTCGAGCCAAATACACGCTATGTTCACCAGTCTGTTGTACTGAAGACAATAAAGCTTTGAAAATACTTAGTTATCCTCTCCTTTAAAGGTCGCCCCTATTTAGCAAGTGCTATCTGTTGTTGCACTGACCTTCTCAAGGCAACATCTGCGTGTGTCAAGAGTTCATTGCTGCTCACACTCACGCTGGCTCTGACACTGGAACAGTCTGTCAGGGGAGCAGCAGGTGGGGGAACTGACCGGAGCTCTCCATCCCAGCCGTGCAGCAGGTTCCTGCGGGGAAGGTGAGTGGGAGCCCAACACCCAAGTGGTTCCTTGAGATCACAGTCAGTGCTGTGTCTTGACCGTGTTTACTACTAAACTAAAGCATTTTTCCACTTATTCCTTTTTTTTTTTTCAATTGGCAGATGGCCTCTTACCCAAGCTGGAGTGGTGTGACATGATCACTGTTCACTGGAACCTGCACCTCCAGGGATCAAGTGACCTTCCCCACTCTGCCATCCAGGTAGCTGGCACAAAATGCGCGCCACCACACCCAGGTAACTTTTTGTACTTTTAGTCGATATGAACTTTCACCACGTTGCCTAGGCCGATCTCCAACTCCTGGACTCAAGCAATCCCCTCGCCTCGACCTCTCAAGGTGCCAGGATTACAGGCGTGAGCCATGCACCCGGCCCACCTGAGCATGTCGAATGCTTGTGAAAATCGGGTTATCGAACACAATAGAGTATGTCCCTGATTTATTTCTCTGCTTCAGACCAGGAGCTGAGGAATGATGCCACCACTACCACCAACCACCTGTGAGCTCGCTTCTCTGTTTCACATTAATAAATGCACATAGAAAAGTCCAGCATAACATGTATCTACTGATACCCTGCGTCAGGCAGCCCTTGAGACTTCCCTAAAATGACAGAAAGTGTTTGGGACCTCTCAGGACTCTTATCCTTCCACATGCACAAACAGATGCCAGAACTGCCTGGCATAACGACGAGTTCTACCAGGGCCGCCTGGTGACCCACTGCATCAACCCTCCTCCCATTTCCGGAGTTCAAATTTGCTTCTTCCATTTGGGAGACTGAGAGCCTGGGAAATCCATCTCTGCACCATCTCTGTCTGAGGAGTGAGGATACGACATTTACCTTCAGGTACAGCCATGGTGGAGGATGAATGGGTGAATTTAGGTGACATGTGCAGTAGCAATTCAATGTTTTAGACAGTTTTTCTGAATTTTCTGGGAAAACACGCATACACTCCCAAAGACATTCCCAATCACTCCACAGGGCTGTCTCCTCCATACCTCACCGCCCTGAGGCACACCACCCTATTCCATCTAAATGGCAGTTCTGCCTCCAGGGACGCGAGAGGATGGTCATGGTTCTTTACTGGATGGACTGAGCGTTTTTTAAACCAAACTGCCCCTATCTCCTTTCTGTCAGGAAGCTCAAACCAAAGCAGCCTCCCAGCAAAAGCAGGAGAGTAAGTGCCACCTGTTGCCACACTCAAGATCTTTCCTGAGCGGAGGAGCGCTCCCAGAATACACACCTTTTTCCTTGGAGGGTTCCTCTGCCTGCATGGACAGAAAGGAAAACACCGTGAGCTTCAGACCATCCTGAGGCTTGAGTGTACAGGTCTTTTCTTCATTGTTGACATTAGAAGACCAGATGGGAAAGAGTGTCCAAGTCAGAGGAACACAGAAGAAGAACAGGACAACTGACTCACGCTAACGTCGTTCTCGCAGGATATTCCCTCTCAAGGTCCTGTGACTTGGCAGTGAAGTGATTCTGCCCCAAGCACGGAATCAAGCTGCAGAGGAGGAAGCTCACTGTCACTAAGTGCGTGGCTGGTGCTGCCATTTTCTCCTCCTGTCTTAAATCAAGCCTCAGTGGGGAACAGACTCTCACTCGGAATTCTCCCCACCAAAGACACTGTATAAATCACCTATGACTCATAGGGTCAGATTCTCCTACCTTACTGAAATTCAAAATGATAAAGTTGAGAAATCTTTTCTTTAACCAACCCATGTTGACTGACCTTTCTCTGTGGTGGCTTTTACTCAGGGAAGAATCTTGCATAGTATTCTTCCACCACTTTAATTTCTGTTGGAAGTAAAAGGTCACAGTGACTTTCAGCAGGTGCAGAAGAGCAGCAGGGAAGAGAGGTTTTCTTGCCTTAGGTCACCTCATCAATGTGAAATAGCCCATCTGAAAAGGGCACAGCACCCAGGGCAAGCTGTGTGTCCCTGCAGGCTCTTCAGGCTCCTGCCCTCTCATTTGACCTGAGCTTATTTGCCCCTTATTTCTGTGTTCTTTCAAGCTTATTTTCTTTTAAGAACACACCTGTGGTGCTTTTGTGACTATCATCCCTTTTAGAGGTTTTTTACAAAATACCAAGCAGCTTTTATTCTAAAAGAAAACTGATTTGTGATCAAAACATCTTATTCACTAACCGTATTTTAAGGGTATATCTTATTTCTATATACACACAAACATGCTCGAACTTCCTGGCGTGCTAAGAACTTCCAAGAGGTGTGTCTGATTAATGCAGAGTTTCAGCCCGTCCTTCCACTCTTCACCACTTATTCCTGAGATCACTTTGCCTTTTTCATTCAGGAAATTGACAGCCTGGATAATTTATCTCTCCACCGTCTCCCATGTCAGGACTCAGCATGTTCAACTCCCCTCCCTGTACATCTGTGGCAAAGTATGAGTGTTGACTAATGTGATGTGTCCAGTGGGGATGGACGTTTGTTTCTAGAACATTCATTCTAATGTGCTTTGAACAGGGGAACACCCTTTCTAGAGAAATTCACACACACACTTTCATAGACATTCCCCATCACTCCACACAGACTCTCTTCTCCATGCCTCCCCACCCTGATGCACCCTGTTCCTATTTAAATGACATCACTGCTTCTGGGAACTAGAGTGGATGGCCACAGGTGTTGACTAAACTTTTCATTTTTATTACACCAAATTGTCCAAACCTCATTTCCAGCAGGAATGTCACACTAGGGTTGCTCTCCAGCCACAGCAGGGAGAAAAGTGTCAGTTTCTCAACACTATGATAATTTTTTAGCAAAGGGATGACACCAGAGTACGTACCACTTTTTAAAGATGCGTTTTTCTGCAGAGAGAAAGGAAAACACTGTAAGCAACAGACCATGCTGTGTCCTCTGTGCACAGGTCTTTTGTTTACATGATTACATTAAACACTCAGAAAAAAAACAGTGCTTGAGGCCATGGCCAGAAAATAAAGCCTAAAGGACACTTGTGGAAAGGTACACAAGCTTCATGAAGATTTTCAAAATGATTTTAGTTGCAGAGTCACCATGATTTTATAAAAATATGCATTTCCCATGAGGAAAATGCTCTGCCATGCAGTTTGTCACTAAAGCTGTCATCTGTGGGTGCCGTCTTGAACCAGTTCTTCGTTGGTAATGGACTCTTACTTACATTTGCCCACCAAGAAATTCTGCAATTCGTCTATAATTTCCATGGTGAGATTTGCGTGACATAATTCAAATGAAGTGGAAAGAAACCAAGAGAAATAAAATTCCCATCTCAGACAAAGAATAAAGACTTTACCCAATAAAGAGCTGCGGCAGCTTCTGGGCTCATCACGCCAAACATTCCTGCCACTTCCTTTTTGAAATCTAAAAAACAGAATCACTGTCAGCCATGGGAGCTGCTGAAGACCCTCTGACAGCCCTAGGTGCTGAAGACACAGGGCTGGTGTACGGAGGAGGTGGGGTAAGCAGGGGCTAAGCTGGCTCTGGGCCACCCTCTGTTTTGAAGGAAGGCAAAGGACACCATCAGGAGAGCCCTGGGGGGACAGAGCCTCTGGTCTCTGGCTAAGCCACCCTCATCACTGAAATAGGCAGTGTTCACAGGCAGCACACAAGTGCAGGGCATGACTCCAGGACAGGGTCTCCACACAGAAAAAGGCCTGGTAAGTATCCTCTTCTTTATAAAAAGGTTACTATATCACTTAACTTTCCTAAATAAACCTATGCTCCTACGGCAGTTAACATCCATTTTATTGGACTTTAAGCCATGATGGTGAGCTATTCACAATATTTATTATTTTAATCCTTAGTTGCAGACTTCAGGAGCAGATGGGACAACAGCAGCAAACACGGAGGGGAGCCCACGCACTTCTCCCTGACCCTGAATCAGAACCCACACAGGAACCTGCATTCGTGTGTGACTCAGCAGACTGCAGAGGGTGAGCAGGAAGCCTTTTCACACTTGTGCTTTCTCAGTACAGGGCTGTGTGCATGAGAACATCACTGGGGCCCCCAAGATGGGCTGCCCAGAGCTAAGCTCTGGGATGAGAAGGAAGAAGAAGGACAGAGCCCCTGCCCTGACAGTGACCAGCCAGGGCCAGCATCCTCCCACTCATGAATGGCAGGTCACAGATGGTGAGACTGATGATTCCAAGCCTATCTTAGAAAAACCGGCAAAGTGATGTCTTATGGGTCAGAAGGGAGATGTGCAAGGAACACCTGGGCTCTGGGGCAGCCCCTCCCTGTCCTGAGCTCACCCTGCACTGGAACTGGCTCCCCTTCCACCTCTGCTGCAACTAGTGTGAAGCAGCTGCCCTGGCCAGGGGCTGTGAGGCTTCCTTTGGTTAAATGGGATTCTCAGATAAACAAACCTTGACCAACAGCATCTACACAAGGACCAGCTGTCAGGCAACTTCCAGAAGCTGGGGAAAAGTAAATGCTGTTCTCTGTCCCAGTCACAGGGATAGCAGGCCTGGGGATGGTGCTATGTCTGACCCGACCCTGATGTCCACCCCTGCTCATCATATCCCCTCATCTAAGTCAGATATCTTGGGAACTCCCTTCTGTTCTTTGCCTCTCACTAATTTCTGATTGTGTTATTTCCATCATCACAGAAAGGTGAAGAAGACAAATGAAACAGTGGCTCCTTTCTCAAGGCTCATAGAACAGTGGCTGGGCAGTGCTCACACCAGCCCTGAAGTCCAAGCTCTGCTCATTCCCCGTAGATGCGGCCCAAACATCCTGGCTGCACCCAGGGCATGACATTGAACTATCTCAGCCTTTCAACCTTGGCTTTCCCATGGCATGGATGTCTTCATGTCTTCTTCCTGCTCCTCTGAATCATGTTACTTTTGAGGCCGAGGCCAAGGCTGTGCCCTGCTCTCTCATGGAGCGCACCGTGCAGCTCACCATGAATTTTTAGAACCTCAATGTTGGTAACACTGATTTGTACCTTTAATCGCACACAGTAGAAGGCCACCTAGGTGTCACACAAAAACTGTGTTCTAGAGATTAAAGATGACTAGAAGAATTTGGTTATGAGGATATACTTTTGAGGGAAACAAGGTACATTTTAAAATCACATGGCCTCATTATATTGAAAAGTACGAAAGTACTGTCCCCTACACAGCAATGCAAATTGCATACAATAAGTTTCTACCAAATGCACAGTCCAAAAAAATTATGCTCAAACCATAATTTGGCTCATTTTATATTCATGTGGACTGAAATCAACCACCTTGACTTGTTTTTCACAGGGCTCTGTGGCAAAGAAGAACATTTGTCAACAGAGGGTGTAACGGGAGAAGCATCATGGAGCCTCTGCCATCCCACAGCCGAATCTTGTCTTTCCCACCTCATGCCTGAGCCTTGGACATCCTGCCAGGAGGAAGGCAAGGGCTCACGCTACCTCTCAGGCCCTCGGGCAACACCCTTGGTCCCCTTGTCCTCTTGCTGTGTTCCCTGAGCTGAGCACACAGAAACCATGACTGGGCTGAGTGCTGGAGGCTGGGCCTCTACATTGCCCCGGCATTGTCTATTCTGGGCCACATTAGCTGATGGTCAATATGAGGCCACAATGGAGAGAGTCATGTGATTTTACCCCAACCCTGCGTGCAGGCTCCTCTTTTCTCAGTCTCCTACCAAAACTGGTCATAGCACGGGGCTGCCCCAGGGTCTCCCTGCACAGGAAGGAGCCCCGCCCCACTCTGCATGCTGAAGACCAGTCATGGAGGATCAATTCTGAGGGCTTGAGTAGAAAAGGCTTGTGAAGGGGCCGGGTGTGGTGGCTCAAGCCTGTAATCCCAGCACTTTGGGAGGCCGAGGCGGGTGGATCATGAGGTCAACAGATCGAGACCATCCTGGTCAACATGGTGAAACCCCATCTCTACTAAAAATACAAAAAATTAGCTGGGCACGGTGGTGTGTGCCTGTAATCCCAGCTACTCAGGAGGCTGAGGCAGGAGAATTGCCTGAACCCAGGAGGCGGAGGTTGCGGTGAGCTGGGATTGCGCCATTGCACTCCAGCCTGGGTAGCAAGAGCGAAACTCCGTCTCAAAAACAAAAACAAAAAAGAAAAGGCTTGTGAAGGAGGGAAGTGGCCACAGTGAGGTGTCATGACCACTTCAATGCCAGGAGCAACATGAAGGCCTGTTACCAGGTGACATTTATTGAAAATGAGGTTTAGAAGCAGATTCCCAATGAAAAAATAATGAATAAGGATCCTGAGACAGGTTTGTTCCATTAGCACCCAATGAACATTTGCTTAGGTGTGGACAGGATTTCCTTTGGGTAACTGAAGTATCCTTTGCATGCATAAACTACGCACGTCGTAAGCTGACATCTTCACTAATAATTACCTATGCTCTTGTCAGGCTACAAGAGTGAGGCATTTTTCACTAAGAATGTGGACACTAGGAATCAGATCCAAGATGGCCGACCACTAACAGCTCAGGATTGTAGCTCCCAGTGAAAGCTCAGAGAACGAGACGACACCACATTTTTAGACGAATTTTCATCACTCACCGATTAGCCAATTCCCAGTGGAGGAGCCCCACGGGTCGCCAGCGCGACTCTTGTGGCCGCCGCAGCGGTTTTGCCGGCGTCTCGGCGCAGCAGCTCTTCATGCAGAGCCAACGGGACTGCTTCCCCTACTGACCGGAGTTTGGAGCTCCGGGAAGTCAGAGCCGCTTGTTGCGGACTCAAGAGGGAAGCCAGACCAGAGATTCCCGGGCAGAAGAGCACCATCAGTCTTATCGCTGCTATTTAGGCCGCCACAATGGGTTGCTCGGATCCCAGCACTGGGAATCAATAAGTTGGATGTCGACTCAGAAACCTATTTAGAAAGGCAGTTCATCTACAATGAAGGGAAAAAAACAGCCTAAGAAGGCCAAGTATACTCAAAATCAGAACCCATCAGCAACAGAACAAGCCCTGATGGAAAAGGACTCATCAGCAACCGAACAAGCCCTGATGGAAAAGGACTCATCAGCAACCGAACAACCCCTGATGGAAAAGGACTCATCAGCAACCGAACAAGCCCTGATGGAAAAGGACTCATCAGTAATGGAACAAGCCCTGATGGAAAAGGACTGTGTTCCATTATCTGAAGTTGGCTTTAAAAGGTGGATGATAAGAAACTTCTGGGAGTTAAAGGAACTTGTTCTAACCCAATGTAAAGAAACTAAGAACTTGGAAAAAAGGTTCGATGAAATGTTGAAAAGAATAGACAATATAGAGAGGAATACAAATGAACTTATGGAGTTGAAAAATACAACACGAGAACTTAGTGAAGTATGTACAAGCTTAAACAGCCGAATGGATCAAGCAGAAGAAAGGGTATCAGAGGTCGAAGACCAACTTAATGAAACAAAACGACAAGACAAGAATAGAGAAAAAAGGATAAAAAGGAATGAGCAAAGTCTCCAAGCAATATGGGACTATGTGAAACGACCTAATATACGCTTGATTGGTGTACCTGAATGTGACGGAGAGAATGAAGCCAAGCTGGAAAATACTCTCCAGGACATTATCCAGGAAAATTTTCCTAATTTAGCAAAGCAGGACACTATTCAACCCCAGGCAATACAGAGAACACCACAAAGATATTCCTCAAGAAGACCAACCCCAAGGCACATAATCGTTAGATTCACCAAGATCGAAACGAAGGAGAAAATATTAAGGGCAGCCAGAGAGAAAGATCAAGTTACCCATAAACTTAAGCCTATTAGGCTTACAGCAGATCTCTCAACAGAAACCCTACAAGCTAGAAGAGAGTGGGGGCCAATATTCATACTTAATCAACAGAACTTTCAGCCCAGAATTTCATATCCTGCCAATTTAAGCTTTACATTTGAAGGAAAAATAAAATCTTTTAGGAACAAGCAAGTACTCAGAGATTTTATTACCACCAGGCCTGCTTTACAAGAACTTCTAAAAGAAGCATTATACACAGAAAGGAACAACCAGTATGACCCTTTCTAAAAATACACCAAAAAGTAAAGAGCATTAACATAAAGAAGAATTTTTATCAACGAAAGGACAAAATAGCCAGTTAATATCAAATGGCAGCAACCCTAAATTTAAATCGACCAAATCTCCCAATCAAAAGATACAGACAAAATCTAACGGTATATCCAAAGATATACATAGACTCAAAATAAAGGGTTGGAAAAAAAAAAAACGTACCAACCAAATGGAGAGCAAAAACAAATAAATAAAAAGCAGGAGTTGCAATTTTCACATTTGACAAAATAGATTTCAAAGCTACAAGGATACAAGGGTAAAAGGATTAATGTAATAATAAGAGATCTTAACACCCAGATACATAAGACCCATAATGAGATTTAGATTCAACGAGACAGAAAATTGATAACGATATCCGGGACTGGAACTAAGATCCAGAACAAATAAACTCAATAGAGCTCTCCATTTTAAACACACAAAATATACATTATCCACAAAATCTAACGATATATCTAAAGATATACAAAGACTCAAAACAAGGGGATGGAAAAAAAACTCACCAACCAAATGGAGAGCAAAAATAAATAAATAAAAAGCAGGAGTTGCAATTCTCACACTTAATAAAACAGATCTCAAAGCTACAAGGATGCAAGGGTAAAAGGATTAATGTAACAATAAGAGATCTTAACACCCAGATACAAAAGACACATAATGAGATTTAGATTCAACGAGACAACAAATTGATAATGATATCCAGGACTTGAACTCAGAGCCAGAACAAATAAACACAATAGAGGTCTCCATTTTAAACACATAAAATATGCATTAACTACTTTAAACACTCAAAATATTGATCAGCCATTATTGAAACCCATTTTAGGAATGAAGTAATATTCCTTTTTCCCTCTTTTTCTTTTTTTCCCCTTCTTTTTCTCTTTTTCCCTCTAAAAAAGAAAAAGAGAAACTTGCTGATTTTTTTTGGTCCAAAGAACTATCAGAAAGAGTTTGAGGAGACCACAAGCCCTGGACAGTGAGGAGGGAAACTTAGGACAGAGCCATAGAGGGAATCCCAAATGCTGTGCATATACTTGGATCAAATTTCTGGTTAATCCCCTCCCCATGCATGTGTGGGACAGACCCCAAGCAGCTGAGATAAGAATAAAATAACTGAACTGAAATTCAAGCTGCTGCACAAAAAACATAATTTTCCATTTTAGTCTAATCAAATCAATTGCCCATTAAAACAAATAAAAATCAAAAAAAAAAAAAAAAAAGAATGTGGACACTAATAAGGGAGAGACATGTACCTAGGGAAACCCACACACAACCAGGCACAGTCAGGGTCACACTACACACATTCACAGACACACACCAGTCCCGTGCACACAACCCCACCCCACAGACAGAGAACGCTGCTGCTCTCAGGGACCGCAGAATGTGCCCATCGATCCTTATCTGGAACAGCCACTTCTCCCATCACGGCCTAGGTCCTCATTCACAACAGGAAGCTCAACTCCGGCTGCCTGTGTACAGGAAAGCCAGCGAGACACACATTCCTCATCATCTGGATTATTCATCCACACGGGAGGATTCCCCCATACGTACCCCTTTTCTGGACTCCTGTGGCCTCCTGTAATGACAGAAAACATATTGCCTGAGCACCAGCCCATGCTGTGTCCTGTGTGCACAGGTCTTTTCCTCAGTTGTTGACACTAGGAATCAGATGGCAAAAGGTGCTCAACTCAAAGGAACCCAAAAGAAGAACAGGACAAACCCACTCATGCTAACGACACAAGTTTTTCTTGGAGGGTGTTTCCTCTAAGTCCATGCCGCTTAGCAATTAAGTGACTTAGTTCCAAGGAGATAATCAAGTGTCTAAGGAAAAAGGTCACAGCCACTCAGTGCGTGGCTGATGCTGCCATTTTCTCCTCCTGTCTAACATTGAGCCTCTGTGAGGAACACTCTCACTTGAAATTGTCCCCACCAAAGACACTGTATAAGTCAGCTATAATACATATAATCATATCTTATTTTAATCCAGTTAGATAAAGTTAAGAAAGTAACTTTTTGTCAGACAAAGCCAGGTGGCCTGACCTTAACAGATGATGTTTCGCCACTTGATGTTCTGTCGGCGAGGTGACCCTTTAGTGTCGCAATCCAGTCAGCTGGGAGGACACAGAGTGACTGTTAGCAGGTGCAGGGAGGAGCAGGGAAGAAAGATTTTCTAGCCCTGACTGCCTCATCAACGTGAAATAGCCCATCTTGAACAGAGCACAGCACCCAGGGCAGGCTGTGTGTCCCTGCAGCCTCTCACGGCTCCTGTCTTTTAATCTGACCTGAGCTCACTTGCCCTCCCTTCCTGGGTCCTTCCAAAGTCATTTCATCTCTAGAATCCACCCAAGAGGGAAAAATAAAATTAAGTTAAAAAGCAACCCTTCTTTAAAGAGAATATTTAATTCTAACCAAAATACTCTATTTATTCACTAACCATTTGTTTTTAGGACAATGAAACAAATCTTTGAAAATCTGTTTTCCTCCCATTTAAAGATGACCCCTATTTAGCACGTGCTATCTGTCCTTCCACTCTGTTTTCCATACACCATGTGTGTGTGTCTGCGGAGTCCGTTACTGCTCACACTCACACTCGCTTCGACGCTGGGACAGCCTGTCATGGGGGCAGCACGTGGGGGTGCTGACCCTCTCTAACCCAGCTGTTAGAGATTCCAGAGGGAAGGTGGGCACCAAGCTAACACCCTGTCTCTTGGTGTCTGTGTTACTAAGCTGGAGCATTTCTAAGGCTGTGGTCATCATGATTTTTCTTTTGGTTTGGTTTGTTTTTCTGTGACAGGATCTCACTCTGTTTCCCAGATGGAGTGCAGTGGCACAATCATGGCTCAGTGAAGACTCAACCTGTCTGGCCAAAGCAATTCTCCAGCCTCAGCCTCCTGAGGAACTGGGACTTCAGGAGCACATCACCACACCTAATTTTTGTACTTTTTGTAAAGATGTGGTTTATACTTTGTTGCCCAGGCTGATCTTAAACTCCTGGGCTCAAGTGATCCTCCTGCCTCAACCTCCCAAAGTGCTGGGATTACAGGCATCAGCCTCCCCACTGGGTCCAATCATATTTTTAAATACAATAGGACATGTCCCTGATTATTCTCTGCTTTTGAACAGGAGCTGAGAAATGACCCCACCACTGCAGCCAAAAGCCTGTGACTCCCCATGTGTGTTTCACATTAATGACCACCCCAAAGTCCACCGTACTGCTACCTTGCCTTTCATCATCACTGACAACATCCTGTATTCATGGCTAGCGTTTGGGACCTCTCTAGGCTGTCATCCTTCCCCATGCACACAGATGCTGGCACTCCCTGGTGTGGTGATGAGTTACATCAGGGCCACGCAAGGCCTGCAGAGTAGCAGCCCATCACATCAACCTTTCACCCATTCCTGAGTTCACATTTGCCTTTTCCATTCAGGAAACTGAGAGTTCATTTCTCCACCCTCTCCAATCTGAGGACTGGGGATATTAAACTACCCTTTAGGTATAGCTGTGATGAAGCGTGAAAGTGTTGACTGATGTCGAGTGTGCAGCAGGGATGGAATTTGGTTTCTAGAACACTGATCCTTGGGTCGTGCTTTGCACAGAGGACCACAGTTTCTAGAGAAATGCACACACGCTCCCAAAGACATTCCCCATCACTCCACACAGACTCTCTCCTCCATGCCTCCCCACCCTGATGCACCCCCGTTCCTATTTAAATGACATCACTGCTTCTGAGAACTAGAGTGCATGGCCACAGCTGTTAACTAATTTCTCCATTTTTTTTACACCAAACCACCCAAACCTAATTTCCAGCAGGAAGCTCAAATTCGTGTGACTCTCCAGCAAGAGCAGGGAGGAATGTGTCCCCTTCCTTACGATTCTCCATGAGCAAAGGGGTGATCCTATGGTACGTACCATGCTTCTGCACAGCTGATATCATCTGCAGAGAGAAAGGAAAACACCGTCAGCCTCAGACCATGCTGTGTCCCTCCCATGTGCATGGGTTTCCTCACTTGGTGACATTAGAAAACCAGTTGGGAAATAGTTCTCAAGGCAATAACCCCCAAATAAAGCCTAGAGGACACTTGCGGAAAGGCACAAGAATTTTTTGTAAGATTTTCAAAGTGATTTTGTTGCAAAGTCACCACTATTTTCCAGAAGAATGTATTTCCCCTGAAAAAAATGCTCTCGGCCATGCAGTTTGCCAGTGAAGCTGTCCTCAATGGGGGCCATCTGGAACAAGTTCCAAGCTGGTAATGGACACTCACATACCTTTGTCCACCAGGATATTCTGTGACTCATCTATAATGTTCGTGGTAAGATTTGTATATTTTAATTCAAAATAAAATAAAAAAAAGAAAAAATTTCCCATCTCAGACAAAAAAGAAGACTTACAGGCTCACAGTCCTTAATGCGTTGTGCGAAAGATCTTGCAGAGGATTTCTCCCAGTTTATTGGATGTTCTAGGAAACACAGAGACACTGTCAGCCATGGGAGCTGCTGAAGGTGCTCTGGCAGCCCTGGGTGCTGAGGACACAGGACTGCTGTACGAAGGAGGTGGGGTAGGAGCAGGGGCTGAGCTGCCACTGGGCCACCCTCCTTGGTGGTGAAGGAAGGCAAAGGACACCATCAGGAGAGCCCTGGGGGACAGAGCCTCGGGTCTCTGGCTAAGCCACCCTCATCACTGTGAAGCAGGCAGTGTTCACATAGGCAGCACACAAGTGCACGGCATGACTCCAGGACAGGGTCTCTGCACAGAAAGAGGCCCCTGGTAAGTATCCTCTTTTGAAAAAAAGAATACAATGTTTAACGTTCCTGAATCTACGTGTGCTCCTGCTGCATTTATCATCTATATCATTGAATTTTAAATCATTATTGTGGTGAAAAATACACAATATGAATTATTTTATTAAATGCACACTTCAGTGGCATTAGTTCCATTCACAACACTGTGTAGAAAACTAAAAGCAGGCCGGATGTGCTGGTGCATGCCTGTAATCCCAGCACATTGGGAGGCTGAGGTGGGTGAATCACCTGAGGTCAGGAGTTTGAGACAAGCCTGACCAACTTGGTAAAACCCCAGCTCTACTACAAATGCAAAAATTAGCCAGGCATGGTTGTGGTCACCTATAATCCCAGCTTCTCGGGAGGATGAGACAGGAGGATCGCTTGAACCTGAGAGGTGGAAGTTGCAGTGAGCTGAGATCCTGCCACTGCACTCCAGCCTTGGAGACAGAGCAAGACTCCATCTTTTTAAAAAAGAAAAAACTAAAAACAATCTTAATTCAGTGTTCTTACCTTCCACCTAGGAAACCAGAGAAAAAAGTATAGTGTAATGTAACCCACACATAAAAATAGGACAAACAATTTGCAGAAATCATTATAATAGAAATAATAAAATAAACAGAACTAAAAAAAAAAAAAACAAGAGCTGCTTCATAGAAAAAATAAATAGAATTGATAATCCTCAAGCCAGGCTCACCACAAAGAAAAGCTAGAAGACACAATTTATAAAAAATATAAATAAAAAGAGGAATGATTCCTGCTGATCCCATTAATATCAATCAGGTAATAAAGAATACTTAGAACAAATCTACGCTCACAGATTTGACAGCCTAGATGAAAATGACGCATTCCTCCAAAGGCAGAAACTATAACTACCCAAAGGAGAGTCAGATAACCTGAGCAATATCTACTATAGAAATGGAATCAACAACAGCTTTGTAAAAAATACCCATGTGACTTTACTGAATTCTTCCTAATTCTTACAAAGGAAGACATTGTCTTGTTATATAAACAACCAATTAAAATTGTAAACATTTACCCAGTTAAATTTTAAAATTATGCCCATTACAAAATCCGCACAAGAATGAGGGCACATGTATTCATAATCGCCTGAACTGGAAGCAGCTGAGATGCTCTTCAGGAGGTGCGTGCATCAACCCACATTGTTACATGGACCCAAGGGAATATGACCCATTGGTAAAAATGAGTAAGCCATTAAGCTACTAAAAGACATGAAAAATCTTGCATGTATATTGTGAAGTGAAATCAGTTAGTCCTAAGTGGCTGCATGCTTTATGATTCCAATTCTATAAAATTTGGGGGGAAAATGTATAGAGGCAGTAAAATAAATGATCTATAGCAGTCAGGGGTCCTGAGAAAAGAGGAAAGGGATTAAGAGGTGCAGCACAGGTCATGTTTTGGGTGCAAAACTCTTCTGTCTGGGTGATGAATGACATGAGTTTGTCAAAATGCACAGGCTGCACAACACAGGGTGAGCCTTAATGTGAACTCCAGACTTTCACTAATAAGAAGATATCACTATCGGTTCAGCCACTGTAACAAATGCACCACATTCGTGTAAGCTGTGATCACAAAAAGGGTACTGAGTGGGGAGGGCGTCTGGGAACTTTCTGTAGTACTTCAAATTTAAGTTCATTTACAAGTTTCACATGATGTCCATTTGTTTGAAAATGGGCCCACACTATCTCAGGAAGAGTTCCATTTTAGCTACTGTCTAACAATCAGCTAAATATCTAAACCTTGCATTGAGATGTTCTTTACTATTAAAAGCGAACCAAGCTGGAAGTGGAAATACATCTTTACTTCTGCATTTGTAGCACTAGTGATTGACTTGATACATTTCAATTTGAACACCTGAAATAAAGAGGAATAAAGTGCAGCAATTTTAGAGATTTCTGCAGCATAAGACATTGAAGAATCTGGAATCCTTATGCTTGCAAGAGTGAGAAACTGAGTTTCCACAGTACCTCCAGGTGGCAAAGGGTCGGTGCTAAGATGATAAAGTGGTCGGTGGCAGGATACTTCCTTTGACGGTGCGTGCTCTATTTCTGAAGGAATCTCTTCTTCCTCTTCAAGGCAACGTCCTGGGAAATGTATTAAAATAAAGACAGCTGTTGGCATCTTGCTGCAGAAGACTATAGAGAAATGAGTAATCATTTATTCACAGTTTAACCCATTTCCTGTGTCCCCAAGAACACCGTGCTGCCAGCAAGCTGCACTTTTATTTTCTAAATGGGAAATAGGTTAAATCAGGGGTCCCTGGCCTCTGGGCCACACATAGTTGTGGCCTGTTAGGAAGCGGGCTGCACAGCAGGAGGTGAGCAGCTGGCTGGAGCAAAGCTGCATCTGTGTTTACAGCCACTCCCCATCACTCCTGTCACCGCCCAAGCTCCGCCTCCTGTCACAGTAGCCATAACATTAGAGTCTCCGAGGAGCACAAACCCTACTGTGAGCTGCACAGAGATCTGGGCTGCATGCGCTGTGTGAGAATCTAACGGCTGATGATGTGTCACTCTCTCTCAGCACGCCCAGCTGGGACTGTCTAGTTGCAGGACAACAAGCTCAGGGCTCCCACTGACTCTACATTATGGTGAGTTGGATAATTATTTCATTAACTAAAATGTAATAATAATAGAAATAAAGTGCCCAATAAATGTGCTGGAATCTTCCGGAAAGCACCCTTCCACCCCCCACCCCACTGAAAAATTATCTTCCATGAAACTGATTCCTCCTGCTGTCAGAAAGGCTGGGGACCACTGGGCTCCATGTTTGATCCATGGCCCACTGTCCACCATCTGCAGGGATAAGCCTCCTGAATCTGAGTTGGGCATTAGGAAGCACTTGCACTGTGGGCTGCATTAAAAACTGTGCAGACCGACTGTGCAGGCAAACCCCTGTGCTGAGATGAGACAACGTAGAAAGGTGGCAGATGGAGTGACCAAGAGCACGGGGCCTGGTGCACAAAGGTCTGGTCCTTATTTGGAAATACTTGAACCTGAGGAGTTCTATAGACCTTTCTGTGCCTCAGTTTCCTCTTCTGAGTATCATGATGTTCATAATGGGCTATGTTATGTCCTAAGGCCAAAAGTAATTAAACAGAGGTAATGCCTGAAGCAATGCAGTGCCTGCTGAGTGCCGTTCATGTTCAATCATTACATGTCTGAAAGTAAGCCAGGCCCTTGGCAGTGGTTAATATGACAAGGTGCTGGGGGACAGGGCTCCAGAATAGTAGAGAATAAAATTTTCTTCCTCCTTCACATGGGCCTGATGCTTCAGCGCTCATGGACAGTATCTGTTATTTCCTGTGATGCCCACATAGGCCCAGCTAAATGGGCAGGCCAGGGCCCACCACCCACAGTTGACAGCTCAGGAAAGTGAAATGAAAGATTTGAAGTGACCTGCCTAGAGTCACAGCACTCAGGGTTGAAAGATCTGGGACAAGAATGTAGATGATTCTCCAGGAAAGAGGTCTCTGAATACCTGAGACCTCTAAATCCCGGCCTGGACCCTGAACCAGGAGCTCTTTTCACTCCCTTTCTCAATCCTCCTCCCCAGGGTCTTTTCAGGAAGGTGGATGCCAGGAGGTGGCTAAGTCCAGAGAAGACCTCAAGTCATTCAAACAAAACTTCTGTTTCTAGATTTTAATTCTTGACCTAAAATATGGCACCTTCCTGCAAACAAAGCCTCTCTGATGAATAAATTCAAATGTCAGGCCATCCTCCCCAGCAGCTTCACACTGCCAGCTGCCTGGCGGTGAACACCCTCATGATCAGTGACCACCCTGAGGGACCAGTGGTCTGCTTGGCCCCGAGATGTTCTAAAACTCAGAATATTCTAAGGCAACTGCCACGTGATGGCTCTGCCAAGAATCAGCTTCCCTTCAACTGACCAACCCTGCATGAACAGTTAACTGAAAATATGGCCATCAGGGCTGGCACTTCAGTGATTTAATGAATGAAATCTGTGACCCCCACTGTCTCACTGACTACCCATCTGAGCAACCCTCTGAGCAGGCTGAACTAAGGCCTGCCTGAGAGTGAGCAGTGTTTAAATGAAGTCTACTGAATACCTTAGAAGTCACACCTGATGAGAAGGGCACTCACATTTAATGAGACACAGCATGTGTTCAGTCATGAGTGAATGCTGGATTACAGAGGAATGTAATCAGAAGAGCTAGTAACTTGAGCAGGGGAATACCTGGCTCTAACTAACAAACAGCATGGGAGGTTTCCTGCTCACCTGAAACATTAAGACATATCAAAAGGCCAAGAGTATAAAATCATGTTACATCTGAGACCAACATTAGTAATTGGGGCCTTTAAAAATAAGCAGTTTAGCATTACAGCAGCAGAATTAGAACCCAGGTAGGAGGGGAGAAGTAAATTAATGAAGCTGATGAAAATTTAAAGGCGAGAGTTATCATCCAAGCCAAGTGTAAAGATGCACCTTTTCCAGGAGAAAAGAAACAGAAGGCAATGGTGTGGGACCTGTAAATTACATGTAAAGAGACACAGTAAAAGTCGAACCTCTGAGGTATAAATCTGAGAATTTTAAAAGAAAAATTATCACCTCTTGTATTTCACTGAGAACAAATTATCTATCTTAAAAAAAAAAAAAGCTTATTTTTTAAACCAAAATTGTAGTTTGGTATTAATGTATTTTTAATATTGTAGCTAATTTTAATAACACCTTACAAATAAATCTATCTAACCCAGTCCATTTTGACTGCAAAGTAAGATTTTCATCTACCTTTTGTAACTTCTAATATTAATTTTCTCTATTTTGTAACTTTTTATATCCACTTGATTGTGTTTATCTTTTTAAAATGCCTTTAATTTAAAACAATCCCCAAAACCTCTTAACTAGGATACTTTTTCCCTTCAGAAAATCTCAGTTTATTTTCTAAAACTCTCTGGAGTCAAACTTTTCCACAATTTGATTTAGGAGTTTCACAACTCAGTTTAGAAGACGTTGGCCTGTAATCTCTCTGCCTTTCATGGAATGGCTCCTACTGTATTTGGTATCGAGATCTCCTGACATGATTAAGGCAAGGTTGTGGTGTTTCTTCTGGATCTATTCTATGAAAGAGTGAACAAAATTGGCCTGGGAAACAGTATATTTTTCTAAACAGAGAAAAATATTTAAGGTAAAAAGTTTTATAGCAGAATCAAAAATACAAATTGAGGCATCAAACTCTAAAGCAAATTTGTACATCTGTAGACAAACTGGATGTACAAACCTGGAAAAAGAATAATGCAGGAAGACATTTTCAGTACAAGTGGCCTAGAATCTGAAGAAAGTGCAGTGGGAAGATGGAAATGAACATACCTCCAAGGCAGGAACAGAGACCTCCCATCTTGACTAGTAGTCTAGCTGAGAGTTGAAACACATTATCAGTTGGGATGAAGACAGGCTATACATCATCACGTGACCTCAGCGACAGGTCATAAGAGTATGCAAATGAACACAGGAACACATGCCACACTATGGGGTCCAACTGCGATGGCTTAGGCAGTTAGGAGGGGTGAGGGGCAGGCCTCCCACTGTCAAGCCTGGAGTTGGTAAATTTCAGCTCCCTGCAGCTGCTCTCTGGGAGGTTTCCTGAGAAGTCAATGCAATTGAGACAAATGTAACTTTCTTCAAGACTGTGTTCTCCTGGGTAGAGGGGGGAAGGGCACCCCCTCCGCACTCCCCCCATGAGGCTGAACATGGCCACATTCTCCTATAGAAGTAGTTTACTGCTTCTTTAAATAAACATAGAAATTGATCATCCCAGTCTTAAAGAAAGTTACATTGTCTCAATGGCGGCTTCTCATCAGGAAACCTCCCAGGGAGCAGCAGCAGGGAGCTGAAACTTACCAGCCACTGCTGCCTGTTGACCTAAAAGAAAGAATGTCCTTGGGGTGGAGGGCCCAGGAACCTGGGCCTCGGGTGCTGCGGAGCCAGCCCCTCCTCTTCCTGCTGTGTCCTGGCTGAGCTCAGGACTGAATCAGTGATCTACACATCGCTCAGCAGATCTGAAAAAGTGAAGTCACCGTGGCAGGCAGGAGGAGGAGCTGCCAAGACAGGCTGGCTGGGACTTGGCCAACTACTGTGTCCAGAGCAGGCCTGCTGAGGGGTAGGTGTTGTGGGCAGCCAGCCCACGAGAGCCACTCTAAACCACTGGACCCCCTGCTGCCTGCCTCCCACTCCCACCAGGATTTACAAAACTGGAACCGACCACAGGGGACTCCCTTGGGTGCAGACAGGCCCCATCTCTTGTGCTAACAGCTATTCAGGCTGCATACTCAGCCCTATGCCCAGGGAAGGGATTCATAGGGAGGGTGGGAGGGGCTCTGGGGCAGCCCCTCCCTTTGTGAGCTCACCCTGTACTGGAACTGGCTCTCCTCCCACCTCTGCTGCAACTAATGTGATGCAGCTGCCCTGGCCAGAGGCTGTGAGGCTTCCTCTGGTTAAATGGAATTCTGGGAAAGACCAAACTTGACCAACAGCATCTACACAGCTCAGGGAAGTGAAATGAGAGATTTGAAGTGACCTGCCTAGAGTCACAGCACTCAGGAGTGAGAGATCTGGGACAAGAATGTAGATGGTGCTCTGGGGCAGAGGTGTCTGAACACCTGAGACCTCTAAATCCTGGCCTGGACCCTGAACCAGGAACTCTTTTCACTCCCTTTCTCTATCCTGCTCCCCAGGGTCTCTTCAGGAAGGTGGATGCCAGGAGGTGGCTAAGCCCAGAGAAGAGCTCAAATCATTCAAACGAAACTTCTGTCTCTAGATTTTAATTCTTGACCTAAACTATGGCTTTTTTCTGCAAACAAAGCTTCCCTGATGAATAAATTCAAATGTCAGGCCATCCTCCCCAGCAGCTTCACACTGCCAGCTGCCTGGTGGTGAACACCCCCATGACCAGTGACCACCCTGAGAAACCAGGGGTCTGCTTGGCCCCAAGATGTTCTAAAACTCAGAATATTCTAAGGCAACTGCCACATGATGGCTCTGCCAAGAATCAGCTTCCCTTCAACTGACCAACCCTGCATGAGCAGTTAACTGAAAATATGGCCATCAGGGCTGGCACTTCAGTGATTTAATGAATGAAATCTGTGACCCCCACTGTCTCACTGACTACCCATCTGAGCAACCCTCTGAGCAGGCTGAACTAAGGCCTGCCTGAGAGTGAGCAGTGTTTAAATGAAGTCTATTGAATACCTTAGAAGTCACACCTGATGAGAAGGGCACTCACATTTAATGAGACACAGCATGTGTTCAGTCATGAGTGAATGCTGGATTACAGAGGAGTGTAAGCAGAAGAGGTAGTAACTTGAACAGGGGAATATGTGGCTCTAACTAATAGCATGGGTGGTTTCCGGCTCACCTGAAACATTAAGACATATCAAAAGGCCAAGAGTATAAAATCATGTTACATCTGAGACCAACATTAGTAATTGGGGCCTTTAAAAATAAGCAGTTTAGCATTACAGCAGCAGAATTAGAACCCAGGTAGGAGGGGAGAAGTAAATTAATGAAGCTGATGAAAATTTAAAGGCGAGAGTTATCATCCAAGCCAAGTGTAAAGATGCACCTTTTCCAGGAGAAAAGAAACAGAAGGCAATGGTGTGGGACCTGTAAATTACGTGTAAAGAGACACAGTAAAAGTCCAATCTCTGAGGTATAAGTAAGAGGTTTAAAAGTAAAATCAGATTTTGGAATGAAAAATTATTACCTCTTGTATTTCACTGAGAACAAATTATCTTAACAAAAGCTTATTTTTTAAACTAAAATTGTAGTTTGGTATTAGTGTATTTTTAATATTGTAGCTAATTTTAATAACACCTTACAAATAAATCTATCTAACCCAGTCCATTTTGACTGCAAAGTAAGATTTTCATCTAGCTTTTGTAACCTCTAATATTACTTTTCTCTATTTTGTAACTTTTTATATCCACTTGATCGTGTTTATCTTTTTAAAATGCCTTTAATTTAAAACAATCCCCCAAAACCTCTTAACTAGGATACTTTTTCCCTTCAGAAAATCTCAGTTTATTTTCTAAAACTCTCTGGAGTCAAGCTTTTCCACAATTTGATTTAGGAGTTTAGAAGACGTTGGCCTGTAATCTCTCTGCCTTTCATGGAATGGCTCCTACTCTATTTCGTATCGAGATCTCCTGACATGATTAAGGCAAGGTTGTGGTGTTTCTTCTGAATCTATTCTATGAATGTGTGAACTAAATTGGCCTGGGAACCAGTACATTTTTCTGAACAGAGAAAAATATTTGAAGCAAAAAATTTTACAGCAGAATCAAAAATACAAGTTGAGACATAAAACTCTAAAGCAAATTTGTACATCTGTAGACAAACTGGATGTACAAGCCTGGGAAAAGAATAATTCAGGAAGACATTTTCAGTACAAGTGGCCTAAAATCTGAAGAAAGTGCAGTGGGAAGATGGAAATGAACATACCTCCAAGGCAGGAACAGAGTCCTCCCATCTTGACTAGTAGTCTAGATGAGAGTTGAAACACATTATCAGTTGGGATGAAGACAGGCTATACATCATCACATGACCTCAGCGACAGGTCATAAGAGTATGCAAATGAACACAGGAACACGTGCCACACTATGGGGTCCAACTGCCACTATCTAGACCGGTGCACTTTCACAAGGACAAGGGTCACTCAGAGTCCATGTTTCATTTCAAAACTGGAATCCCAGACCCTCAGTATTATTCTGTGTATTAAATAAATGTTAAATGAGGAAAAAAGACCTGCCTTACAAACATATTTGATAGTGAAAATTTCAGGGTGAAGAGGGTCAAAACTAACACATTCAGAATAAAATGAGATTCCTACCCTGACATGAAGTACTGTCCCACCCATTCTTACTATTCCTGTGTCAGCCACAATTTCTATATTCAACAATTTCTATTTTCAGCAATTTTAAATTTGCTCCAGATTAAAGTTTAATTTGCCTTAGTATAAATTTAATTTTTAAAAGTTGATCTCTAAGAGTACAACTCACAGTAATTGTATAAAGTCTTCTCTCATCAGCTGTCTATATTATCTACTATTTTTCTCTGTATGCAACTAAGTTACAAACTTACTAATTTCTGAATCTCTTTAAGATCTCTCTGTGAATGTACACATGAAAGCCTGGCTGTTCACTGAGAGATGAAGAAAAAAGAAGCATTATATGTTCACCAATGTGTTGTATGAAAATATATGAAGAATGATTTTCTGAGTGGGGTGTTCTGATAACCTCAGACTCCAGGATTAAATGTGTTCTGGCTCATCAGTCAACACCCAGTCACACCCGTTCTTATTATCTCGTCATGAGAGTTAGCACCTGGAAGGCAACTGACAAGCCCTGCAAAACACGGAACAGCTGAAAATTAGAGAATAAAAATGAGAGCGTTATCCTGTTTATAACAAATACCCACTAAGATAGGAAATGGTTCAGTGCAAATTTCCATCACTGCAGATCCATCACAAGCTTTAAGAACTATTAAATCAAATGTGACATTGATGAGGTATGAAAGCTGCATTAATACAGACGTTTCCATTTTTCCAGGGACTACCTAGTTGAGGTCACTGACGGGATTTGGGAAGAAACAGGTAATATTACCTGTCTAAATAGAGAATTATAATTGCTAACAACTGAACAGAAAAATGTGTGCTTGCACATAATATACACCATACATGAATATATATACACACATATATATGCATATGTATTCATGCATGAGACAGAGAAAGAGTCAGTGGTGAGACCTAAGAAAAAACTGGAAAAGATTCACATCTCCAATGAAAACTGGGGAAGAAATTTTTTTAAAAAAAATAGAGAATACGTTAAAAAAAATAAAACCCGCTGGGCAAGGTGGTTCACGCATGTAAACCTAGCACTTTGGGAGGCCAAGGCGGGCAGATCACAAGGTCAGGAGTTCAAGACCAGCCTGGTGGATATGGTGAATCCCTGTCTCTACTAAAATACCAAAAATTAGCCGGGTATAATGGTTCGTGCCTGTAGTCCCAGCTGCTTGGGAGGCTGAGGCTGGGGAATCACTTGAACCCAGTAGACAGAGGTTGCAGTGACCTGAGCTCATGCCACTGCACTCAAGCCTGGTGACAGAATGAGACTTCATCAATAAATAAATCTTCATAAAAAATTAAGGAAAAATGTACAAAAACTTAACAGCAGTTACATCAGAGGCAGGAGCTGGCAGGCTGCAGAAGAGGGCAAGGCAGAAACCCAGATTTCAGTGTGCCGCCTTCTGTACCTTGTGAATGTGCTATAAGTGTGTTATTTCTGGTGCGTTTATTGTGAATTTTTTTTTAAATGAATACTCCAAAATACTGGTATAAAACAACCTTTTTGTTTTGCTCATGCTTCACAGGGATAGGAATTCATGCAAAACAGAAAAAATAGCTTTTTGCTACTTCTTGATGTCTGGGGACTGCAGAGAATGGTCACTGGCTGGGGCTGAATGCACAGCAAGGGTTTGGCGTCATCTGTAGGTGACATCACTCACAGGTCTGCTGAGGTCACTGGGCTTGGCTGGAGGACCTACAGGAGACTCTCTGGTGTCCTGGGCTTCCAAGTAGCTGAGCAGTCTCAGGACATTCAGAGCCTTGACTTGGTAGCCAAGGGCTCCACAGGTGAGTGACCGCAGTGAACCAGGCAGAGGCTCATGGCCTTGTCAAACGGCATCCCCTTCACATCACCTGTCTGTGACAAGTGAGCACTAGTATCCAGCCCCATGAGAGGAGGCACAGACCCCCACCTGTCAAGAGGAGAGCAAAGAAATTGCAAACTCGTTTAAAAAGCCAGATGCAAATTCCTGTT